TGTCACTCTCTCACATTCTGCTCCCTTTCAGGTCTCAGTTCCAACATCACCTCTTTGAGCAGCTTCCTGACCACCCCACACAAAGTAGCTTCAACTCTGCTCACTGGGTATCACCCTACTTGGTTTGGTATTTTTCTTGCTGCTTTTGTCACTCGAGGTCACTTGTTTGAATCATGTGTGTTCCATCTTCTCATACGAGGATGTCAGTTCCAGGAAAAAGGACCCTGAGCCTGCTCTACGTTGTTTACCATATCATGTGTCACCAAAACTTTTTAAAAAGGCTCTTCAAAAACATTAAAGTTCTCTTTTCAGACATTTTCAAAGTGTAGTGTGGAGGAGGAGGAGGTGCGGGAGGAGCAGACGGCTGGATGTTGAGTATTGCTCACAGCCTGTGACAGCTGACTGACAGACCAGAGGTCAGGAGACCCGTGGTTTTCCAGTTGCTGCAGGTCAGTGACACATCACACCACCCGCCTTTCACAATATTTAAAAACACGCGTCTCTCAGCTTTTTACACCAGCTCACCCACTTTCTTAGTTCTTCCTACTAACCCACATCACACATGAGCCCAGTGGCAGGGGCTTTCGGGGTGGGGGGGGCAGGCACTGGAAGAAGGGAGCTGGGAGGACGCGACACCCAGAGAAAAGCTGTGACGATTCCCAGAAACTTACAGCTGAATTTCAAAGACAACAGACACTCAGAAGCCATGGCTGCTGAGCAGCAGGACTGAGCAGCAGCCTCGCTGAGCTGGCGCCATTAAAACCGAGGTGCTGAAAAGATGGCTCTCGAGCTTTATAGGGTCATGGCACCAACTCAAATACCAGAAATTTGAGAACACCGTTGAAGAGATGAAGACTAAAGGGAGCACTGCGTTAGCAATAAGTGCAACCTGTTTACACAGCAGTGGACAAAGGCTCCTGTCCCTGCGAAGGTCTCCCTGGGATGGGGGTGGGGGGTCACCATCTCCAGCCCCCTTGGCCACTCCGCTGCGCTCCAGGGCAGAATCCCCCAGCGGCCGGCACATTGTCCTTGTGTGAGAGTTTGATTTATGCTAAACCACCTCCCTTCCTTGTAGTAAATTGTTTCTAATCTGCGCCCTGTTCCTCAGACAACTCAGGTCAAGTTCTGACAGACCTTGCCTGTGGGCAGACTACTCAGCGGTAGGAAAATGAGGTGCATTTGTTGACTGGAATTGGGCAAGGATTTCCTGGTGGAGCAGTGTCCGGCACACTTGCTCCGGGACAAGGCTGAAACCTTACTCCCACGTCGAACATGCGTGCTCTGCAGTCACCATCCCTGCTACCCGCCTAACGCCCTCCCCCCAAGTAAAGGACAGACCGAACTTGGTTTTATAAAGGTAAGAAATAGGGGTTAAAAACATATTGAAGCAGAATTATAAAAGGTCTTAAGTGATATTAAAAGGTGTTAAATAAGCACAAAGAAGCCATTAATTTATTAATGAATTTATTTAACAAATATTTATTGAGCATCTCCTGTTTGCCAGGCTGATTCCTAATTGAATGATGGAGAGAGTGCTGTAAAAGCAAAGTCCCTTCTTCACAGAGCTTCCCTCCCCATGGAAGACAAATAATAATAAAACATAAACAAGTAAATATATAGTCAATCAGGACAGGTGACAAGGCAAGGATTGGCGTAAAGGAATAGAGAGGGGGAGGGTGTGGCCCTGATACACACTGTGGTCTGGGAATGACTCACTGCCAGGATGACATCTGAGAACAGACCTGAAGGAAGTGAGAAAGCTGAGGGAGACTGGGCTGCAGTTTCCCCAGGGAAATTCAGCACAGGCAGAGGTGGTAGGAGGTGCAAAGGCCCTGGGGCAGGAACACATTTGCATCATCAGTGGTTGGAGGAAAATGTTTGCGTGAGGAGAGGAAATCAGGAGGGGATGTTGAGAAGTGAGACATGGGCAAGATCAGCTCGGACCTCGGTAAAGATTTTGGCTTCTACTATGAGAAGTGAATGGAGATTCTCACCAGGAATGACAGACTTTACAATGTTTGCTCTGGGAGATTGAACATGCAGACAAGGAGGCCAGGGGAGAGATGCTGGTGGGTTTGAACCAGGGTGGTGTCTGTGGGAGAGATGAGAAGTCCTCATTAATTTCTAAATAGATTCTGCAGATAGAGCGGAAATCGTTTGCTAATAGATTCGCTATGGTGTGGGAAAGGAAGAGAAAAGATGAGGATGACTCCCAGGTGTTTAGCCAGGGAACTGGAAAAATAACATTCCCATGGATTGACATGGAGAATACAAGAGGTGTGGGTTAGAATAAAAATAAGAAATTTGATTTTGGAAAACAAGCGATTAGAGTCCTGTGCTGTCCATTACTAACCATCTGTGGGATTCAGGTTTACATTTTAATTGATGAAAGTTACATCAAAGTAAAAAATTCAATTCCTCAGTTGCACTCACAATATTTCAAGTGCTCAATACCCACTTGTGTGTGGCTACTTCCACCAGATTGGACAGTGTGGTGTCACGGAGCTTTTCAGTCACTGAGAAAGGCCCACTGGGTGCACTGGGCCCTGTACACGTGCTTCCTGTGAACATCACACTGAATCTTCAACCAGCTCCACAGGCCAGGCAATGTCATATATTTACAAAGGATGTGACTAAAGTTCAGAAGAGTTAAGAAACTTGCCCTAAGTCGCACAGCTCTTAAAGGGCAAGAAGCCAGAATTGGATTTCAGGAGTGTCTGCTTCCAAAACCCAAGCACATACATCATTGCGCTCTAGGTTAGAAGGCTAAGCTAGTCTGAAATCAGACGTGACATCCACAGGGACCCGTCCACCAGGCTATGGGCAGCGAGTGGTGAAGCCCAGGAAGGAACCGGGAGAGCTGGGAGACCTGGGGCAAAGGGAGGCTCCCGGAGACCTGTGTGCTTAGAACTAACAGGACACACTCCAGCGCTCACCAGTTCCGAGGAAAACACACCCTCTGCAGGCCTAGTTCATTCCTCTGCATGAGGGTCTATTGGCGTTACAGGGTCGCTTGGCAGAAAGAAGGGCTTAATTGACACCAGGTAATATAAAGTTCAGATCCTGTTCTACCCCGTGGTTCTCAGCTAGGTGCGGTGCCACTGAGAAGACATCTGGAATGTACGGGGTGCTAGGGGGAGGCTGCGGGGGGCCACGGGCGTTGTGTGGCAATGACTCTAAGACGCTGATCCCTCGATGCCCAGCACAACACAGAGAACTTCTCACCCACGAGTCAGGGCTCCGCATCGAGGGCAACACGGCCCTCGAGCAATGCCCGCCCATGAGCTGAAGGATGGAAGTGAGGACGTGGTGGGAGGCAGTGGCCCAAGATGTGTTGGACACACTGCTCCCCAGTCTGCTGTGGGCTTGCTGTGCGGCTGGGGGCCGCTGCCTGGACTCACTTTTCTCAACTGAGTCATGCAGAACACAACAGTGAACACCCATCTGGGGTGGCTCTGAGCATTGTAACACTGATATATTGGCCCAGGGACATAGTGTACTGTTGTCAGAAGCAGGACAAGGGGACCAAAGAGGGACTCTAGGATGGAGACGAAAATAACCAAGATGGTGAAGTATGGTAGCAATCACCTCAGGTAGAAACTATAGTTTAACTCTAAGCCTGCTGTTTGGTTTCTGTACTTATTTGCTTGCTAAAATAATAGAAAAGTTATTTTAATTTTCTGAATTATATAAATCACCCCATTTGATTAAATACCCTATTGATTGTAATGTGAATATCCTATTGGTTGTGGTCATACTGGTCTTAGAAAGCACATTTTCCTTTACCTGGGAAAGACAGCACAGTTATCCCAAGGTCAGAGGGCTCCGGTTAACGTGTCCCTGTTGACTCAGTGTTCCGGAGACCCAAAAACTGTAATTTAGATCAAACCAGGTTCCTCATTCCAGACCCGAGGGCTCTAGATAATGTTGCTGTCAGAGACCCAAAACTATAATTTAGATAACATGCTGCTTCCGCTTCTGTAAACTGCTTTTTGGCGAACCAGGTTCCTCATTCCAAACCTTGGGATGTAACCAATACGTTTGTGATCTTTGCCTGTATAAATCTGGTGTTGCGGCCTTCTTATCCGTATTATGAGATTTGGGTGATGCCCCCTCATAGTCCCAGATTTGCAATAAATGTGAATCTTTAATTCGACTTCTTGAGGCGTCCTTGTGTGACTCGCAGCGTACATTACAATGGAAAGTCAGACAGAGAAGCCTGTGGAGAGCAGCATGGTCCCACAGAAAACATCGCAGGTTCAGTTCCCGCCCGCAGTGAAGCGGTGGCGTCTTTCCTTAGACCTCAAGCAACCTCTGCGGCTTCACTTTCAGGCGCACTTTCCGCCCCGCAGCCTCGCCCCTCTCAGCCTCCTCAGGACTGAAGTGAGGGCAGGGCCTTGCTGAGCGTGAGGCTTTGCCTTGGGGGAACGTTGGGGCTGGTTTGACCCCTCCAGACCGCCAACACACCTCCAGTCTACAGACCAGCAATGGGGCCCTTTCACTTTCTCACCACTCCTATCAGCACTTCCAAGGCCCTTCGAGGGTGTTTCCTTTGCTTTCACTTGACTGTTTGGTACAAGAGGCCTTGCTTTCAGCTTATCTCAGCTTCCGACCTGCCTTCCTCCCAAGCTTGCTCACGTCTAGCTTTTCATTTGAGGTAAGAGACGTGTGACTCTTCCTTTCACTTGAACGAGGAGGGGCCCCTGTAAGCGTATTAATTGGCCTAATTTCAATATTTAAATTACAAAGTGTTTATGGCTATTTTTCCATGACAACTGTCTCTGCCACGAATTTAAGATTCTCAAGTTGACACATAGTTCAAATAGCATAGGGCAAGCTTAAGTGATGGGTAGTGTATCTGTCACAGAAGTAGCTCTCTATATAATTTCAATAGAGTACCCTCAAGACTACCCCAGACTCTATGGAATTCATTATTGTTAAAACTCATCCCTAATTTCCTATAAAGTTTTTTTTTTCTTAAAAAAAGCATACAACAGTGGTATAGCATAAACACATTTATTTACCAACGAAACGGTCCATCTTAATTAAACCAACTCAGAAATAGTTGCATGTAAAATGGTTGTGATAACTGAACACGGTAATGGGGAGAAAAAAGCGTGGAGAGATTTGCTCATTGAACTGAGCTTGTTTATCCTCATGGCTAATTCCCGCCTGGAAGGATGATGGAATTCTTACTCCACTTTCTCATAGATCCGAGTACAGTTGACATTGTTCATGACGCATTCCTGGGAGAGAGAGTGATATTGATGAGTTAGATCCTGTGTCCTAAGGCAATGGTGGAAGTTAAGTGCCAGGATCAGAATCCTGTGAAACCCTGTCATCTGTTTTACAGGTGAAGAGCATACATGTTAGGATTCCTGGGTTTTGTAAAGCTGGAACCTGTTATTAGCTTAAGATATGCATGTGTTTAGCGGAACTAATGTACTGATTTGTAGTATCTAAATTACTCATTTGGTCTTGACAAACAGTATTCCTCATTTTAAAGTGTGTTTTTTTAAAAATTGATTTTAGAGAGAGGAAAAGGGAGAGGGGTAGAGAGAAACACCAATGTGAGAGAAACATTGATTGGCTGCCTACCATGTGCACTTCGACCAGGGATTGAACCTCCAACCTGGGTATGTGCCCTGACCGGGAATCAAACCCGCAACCTTGAGGTGTACAGGACGATGCTCCAGCTGAGCCCCACCTGCCCGGGCAGTACCTCAGTTTAAAGAAATGGAAACTGCATGCCCCAGCGGGCAGTTTGGTGGGTTGCCTATGATGCTGGCCAGTCACAGCAGGGCCCAGAGTGGACCCAGCCCGGCAACACCACTGCCCATCCCCTCTCTTCTCTGCCCCACAGAGGACTTTGCAGTGTTCAGTGTTCAGAGCTTAACTTGTCATTGTGCACTTTTCTACGCCGGCCTCGCTGCCCTGCTCACGATCAGTGGCACACAGTTCTGTGAACTACGGGCGCAAATGTGATGCCCGAGAGGCCAGAGGCCAGCACTCACCACCACTAGCTTCCCGCCCTCCAGCCGCCGCGTGATGGTGCTCTCCTTCCCGTCCCACTCCTGGTGCTGGACCAGCGCGCCGTTGACGAAGTTGCAGACGGTCTGCAGAGATAAAGTGCACTTTTTAATTTTCCAGAGGACATTACCGGGCAGGTCCCATGACGCATAACCTCCTTGATCAACATTTTTTCAGCTTTCCCATTCTGCGTCTACTTCAAGCCAGTTTCACTCATAAAATAGTTGATGCTTGTCAACCTAGATGCACGTAAGAGACACTCAAGTGCTCGTGTCCCTTAAACTAGTTTTACAAAGTAGACTAAGTTGCAATACTGGTCCTCTCACACTAATTTGTCAAATCGAGTCATAAAATAACTTGAGATGTCTTTTATTCAGCAGCTCCTGCCTGTAAATGCCAAAATGTTATTCATACAATCTATCATTCTAGAAGCTTCTGTGAGTGTGTAAGTGATGCCTAACCTGAGTTTTCCTGCCATCTGCTGTGGTCTCTTCAAACTTCTCTCCCAGGTTGCATGAGAACTGGGTGTTCTTCAACGTGCTCTCGGTTTTGACGGTGAGGTGTGTGCCGTCGGAAGTGATGACACAGTCTGGCTTGGCCAGGGAGCCCATTTTCCGCATAGCCATTCCCACGCCTGTGAAAGCCAATCACATTCGCTGTCAGGAGGACCAGAGTTACAGCTTACAGAATGCAAGACTCGAGCCCATTGTAATTACTGTGCTGGGCGTATCTTCACATACTCACTCCTAAGAACTATGGTAACACAGACCCAGTGCTCACCACGTGCTAGCACCAGACACATACGATTCACAGAAGCCTTGAGACCACCCTGTGAGCGGGGCCATAGCATTGTCTCCATTCTATAGATGATAAAGTGAGTCACTGAAGTCACCCACGCAAGCTCGCTCAGCTAGGAAGCGATGAGCTGGGCACCAACGATGCAGGCAGTATGGCTCCAAATCTCGGCTCGTGGCCACTGTGCTCTGATGGCCGCTGGAATGTGCGGGAAGCACCCAGACTTCTAAAATTGACTTACTCAGCTCTGCCGGCCATCGTGTGACAGGACTCCAGCACAGTCCGGCACAGACAAGGCCCTGGTAAGCATGTGATCGATACGCTACGCACATAGAAACCGATGCCGAGATACTCCGATAGGGCAATGTTTTAAGAGGTAAAACAGCACAATCATGGTGGTAACAAATGAAAAAGTCTTCCCCTCAAAAACAGAGAACATTTCATAGCTGTGCAACCCAATTACTCCATTGGCATCAGATCTAAGTTATAACTGGTGTATTTCATTTACAAGAAAACTTAGACCAGGACCAAGGCCCTATTTCAGATGAGCAGACGACAACCTACACAGAAGCGCCGGCTTGATGACGGACACTCTGCCGGGCCTGAAACGTCCCCGGGAGCCATCTCGTCTGTGGGCACACGGTGGTGCCTTGTGCTGTTGGCTGAGTTACTCCCGTTCTCACTTTGGACACATGCAGGGAGGGCTCTGCTCTCCCCACACCTTGACTGCATCCCAGTGAATTCAGTGTGGCAACCCTCACACCTCTAGGACCTTGGAAACACATTTGCTTTCAATGGACAGAGCATGCTTGGCCCTCAGACAGGTGAGCGCGTGGACACACACACATGGACACAGACACACGGTGTATTTCTCGGGTATGAGTGCGGTACACAGGGTCCCCTGGATCTAGGTTTACGAGGAGAACATGAAAAGGCCGGCTACTGGCTTCCCTCCCAGGACCCTCAGTGCGCTCATTCCCACGGAAGCGGCCGGCACAGGGCCTCGCAGAAAGACCGCTAGGGGAGTTTCTGCAGCCACAGGGGTGGTCCCTGGTCACTGCAGGGATGGTCACCCGGAGCAGCCACTAACGGTGGGAGGCGGGCAGCTCTGAGCCCTCCTCATCCCGCAGTGGTCTCAGGGCTGGAAGCCCCTGGCAGACAGGACCCAGGCTCTGCCGCTGCATCTCGCTTCCTGATGGCCTGTGACAAAGGCCTATTTTTGTTTGCGTATCTACCCAATGCCTCAACCAGCATGCCATCCTTGTCACTGCTTAGGACAGGACGGGATGAACCACTGTCTGAGACAGTGAACTTGAACCTTCTCCCAGGCACCCGTTCTCCCTAGGCCCTAGGAGAAGTCTGGGGCGTTTTGCAGGGCCATGCCTATCCTGCCTGCGGGTAGGGAGTCCAGCTCTTCTCCAACAAAGACCACCCACCCTCCACAAGCAGGGGTCCAAGCAACTGTGCACGGCCACCCGCCCACGTATGGCCCACGCAACGCCACACGAGGTCAGCACTGCTGGCGCCACGCCTCTGGGGTCGAAGGGAAGGATGCCCCATGCCCCAGGGAGCCGAGCCACGCAAAGAGCCAGGTGGGGGGCGAGAGCTGAACAGAAGCTGGGGCTGCATCGGGGTTCAGATCTTCTACAGGCGCCGGCAGGGGAAGAGGGAGGGGACCGGCGCGCCTTGGAGGAACAAAAGATGCGGCAGAGCAGCGCAGGGTGGGGAAGGGGCGGTGGGTGCAGCCACTATGGGGCGAGACAGGAGGGTGGCAGGAGGAGGGATGAGTGGTGGGGATAAAAATACAAATAGGGGGAAAGGGTACGTAGCCGAGCTGGGTGCACCAGGCGGCGGGGCATCCCCGGACTCCTGGCCTCCCGGCACCGGGATCAGGGTGACAGGAGGCAGCGCCCAAAGCCCCTGATCGCCCTGCGGCTCTGTGTGTGACAGGGGGCAGAGCCACAACCTCCCTATCCGCCCTGCCCTGTTCGTGACAGGGGAAGGCGCCCCAACCCCCTGATGAGCCCTGCTCTGTGCTTGAT